ACGACGACGATTACTACGACGGCGACGACCACTACCACTGCTGCTGCTGCTGCTGCTACTACTACTACTACTACTACTACTACTACTACTACTACTACTACTACTACTACTACTACTACTGTAACTACTACGACTACTACTACTATTGCTATTGTACTACTAGTACTAGTATATTCCTGTACTAGTACTTCTGCTACATCTTCTGCTACTACTACTTACTACTTACTGCTTACTACCTTCTACTTTAATGCGACCAAATTACAGCTGGTCATTCAACTGCAGGGGGCGGCTGCCAAACGCTGGCTCAAATGCCATCTATGCATCAGACCCGAAGGACAGCTAGTTACTTTGGGAACACCATCCGCGCCCATTTATATCCCGCTGGTGCATCGTTTCCCTTACCTAGGGTTAGTCGCCTCACTAGGGAACTTCGAGATGCAGACGTGCAGACATAGGCTTAGGGCCTGCGCACAGGTTCGGCACCGCATCCTTAGCGCGCTGCATAGCTCCGAGTTGCAACTTAAGCAACAGGTTGTTCTGTATCAGGCTTGCGTCCGAAGCTCTATGCTTTACGGCCAACATGCACGGGGGGTCACTATGGGGGTTCTCCGTAAATTGGAAGCACAGGATGCTAAGAGCTTGCGCGGCACTGCCAGAAGCCCTGCACATCTCTGGAACGAACGCAGCACTGCTCTGCGAGCTCTCCTCAAGATACATTCTGTGCACAAAGTCCTCCTGCTGCTGTATCGGAGTCGGGGCAAGCGTAGTAAAGATCCGGAAAGTCGTGCATGGTTCCTTGAGCAGCACCAGTGGCTGGCCGATGTCGTGCCTGAGGTTGTAGGCAACCCCTGCTGCTTGCAGCCGACATTTTGCAGACATGCAGTGGCTTGCGAACAGGGTGGAGTGTACTTTCATAGTCTAGGTAAGGCCCGTAGCCGTAGACACATGCATCGCGCCCATGGCGTAGAGGTTGCACTGCCCGCTGTTCATGCTACCAAATGGAGTGACCACATGCTCAATGGCATGCCGCATTGTCACCATTGCGGTAAGACTTTCACGCGAGAAGGGCTCCGTAAACACATTCGCAAATCCTGCATGGCATTGCGCTGTGAATCCATTCACCAGTCAGTTGAGGGCGAAGTGCCCTCCACAGACGACAGGTCGCATGGGCATTCGTGCCGGGCCTCGAAGGATTCGCAGACAATCGTTCCGCTGCTGCAGTTACCCGACTTTCGCAATGCATTGCTGAGGGGTTGGAAACAGGTGCTTAGTCGTGCCGAGTACGGTCCCTCTCTGCGCACCTACTGCATTCTCTGTGGGCAATGGGTCTCGATGGAGGGACCCGGTCTGAAGCAGCATGTCCGGCTGATGCATACCGGCGCTTGGAAACTTAAAGATCATGCGGCCTCCAGGTGCTCTAGCCTAGGACTCTCTGTAGCACTCCCGTGCGCCTACTGTGGCGCCAACGTGAAGGACATCCGCGTCATCCGCGCGCTCATCACAAGCCCTGGTGCGATCTTTCAAGCCTCGCTGCTTGCAGAAGCTATCGGGCAGCTATCATCGTTCGACAGGAGCTCCGTGGTCCGTGGTTGAGGAGATGGATCTGGGCCAGGCGCGAGAAGCTCAGGAGTCCTTGGAACGGCAACACCCTAGAGTCTCGGTGGGGCCGGCAGAAAGTCTGACCGGAGCGAGAGGAGGAGGACAAGGACACGATCACCATTGGCCAGCATAATTTAAGGGCCTTCAAAGCGGCGGCAAGGGCCTCAAAGCCTCTGCCAGTCAAGATTGGTGGAGCAGGCAAGCCCGCAACAGCCAAGAGGACCCGTGGGCGGCGAGCAAGAGCGATGGGAAGTTGCCGGGCCAAGCGACGCAGCACCTCCTGAAAACCTTGATCATAGATGGTGATAGCAAGGACCCGCATCGACACAAACTTCATGCTCTTCATGGATGTCATGTCGGAGGGTGTCTACGAGCTCATGAAGAAGTGGCACGAGAAGTTCACGGTCAAGAAGGTCACGGTGAGTCATGCTGATGCTTGCGCTTCTGGGGGAATTCCAGGACCAAGACGGTGGCCTCCGAGGAGCAGTTGCAACGTTGCATCAACATTGGGTGGATGGCCGAGGGGGCCGCGAAGATGAACCCATACTATCGATGGAACCGGGAAGCCTGCACCCAGGAGTACTGCGCGACTCAGCCCCTCACGTCACATGGCGGCCCTCAACCATGTGCAAACATTGCAGGATGCCCTGACGCGGTTCGGGTCTACCCGGCCGTCCCCTTCCTGCTGCCGCTTTCTTATGAGACAGAGCCAAGCCGGTGAATGCCACGAAGCTTTGATGGCCCCGGGATGCTGATGCTCCTGCCTGAAGCTCGCCGGCGTCCGCATGAGCGGCCTCGTGCGGCCAGCAGCAGCCCCTCATGCAGGAGCTGGAGCAAGCTTACCTGGTAGCTCAGTACTCTGACAAGCAGGCTGAGGACCCGAAGTAGGCAGGGGCCAGATCTGTGCGCGTGACCCTCCGTACCCCGCCTGCCGGCTGCCGTGCTTGGCAACAGTGGCAACGTATGCTACCTTGATGCAGTAGCTCTGTCCGTGGCCTGGATCGGCGCATGCTCGTGCAGGCCAAAGCACTGCTACGGCAAGGGACCGGGTGGCCCTGCAGAAAGTGCTTGTTTCAGGAAAACAATTGCTGCCTGGCAGTCTGGCTTGGATGCCAAACCTTCATCACCACCACGGTGCGGGATCTTTCTGTGCGCATCTTTTGGCTTATGCCACACCCCCAGCTTTTGCAGGCGAGTGGCAAGCGCGGCTCGCTAACCCTAATATGGTAGTGGATTCAGGCCCGCTTCGAGCACAGCCGTTGATAGCTGGGCCATGCAGCACGCAACACATGGGCTGTATTCCCCTCAAGGGCCACTGTTCGTGCAGTTGAAGCGCTACATGTGCACTGATTGATGGTGTGTCTGACAAACTCACCACCCCTGTCTGCTGCAGACCGGGAGAACGCGTCGGCTTCCCGGTTTTTCTGGTGACTCTGACTCTGAGGGCCTGGCCCCATGCACTGCAACATTTAGGGTTGTTAGCTGTGCCTTCCACAGTGGCAATAGTCTTGATTCCGGGCAGTATCAAGCTGCCTTATGCATACCTAGCATTGATGCAGTTGCTGGGCCGCAGGCTTGTACACCGACATGGTCGTACCGAATTTTGTGATGATAATCGCATGTCCAGACAGGCTATAAGCCGAGAGATGTGGCGCATACTCATTCAAATGCGTACATCACTGGGCTTTTGCGCGATCCTGGAAGGGCGTAGGCCGCATGAGCATTCGTGCCGGGCCTTCGCCCCGCTTGGCTGTCTCTGACTGCATGATATACCGAGGAGGGATAGCTGCTCCGTATGCCGAAGCGCAAGAGCATTCTTCATCAACCGCCATCAAAAATTATGAGTGCTCACTTCCAGTCTGTTAATGTCATGCCAGTAGTCCGTTCTGCTGCATGCGGGTGCCCAATCCACGCTCCGACATTTTTCTTTCCTCGCTGGGCTCTTTTTGGGAGTAGTGCCGACGCAGTGACCAGGAGCTTGGCATTGCTTACCTCTGACTTTCCCCTCCACTGTCACGTCATGCCCGTCTGATCTGCACTGGTGCGCCTGTCCTTTCAGCGAGGCTGCTCGAACTTTCTACGCTGACATGTGCTGAGTTATAGCAGCCGGATGATTGAAGAAGCCTTGGATGAGCTGTGCCGAGAGCTAGCACTGCCGCGTCACATCTACTAATGATTTTCCCGAAGAGCTACTGCTTTTCAACGCACTGCAACGCTTGACGGCTGAGTTGGGGCGCAATGTGCCGCCTAGTCTTTCGATGGCCTCTGTCAGTGAGCTCTGCTCTATGGCAGGCAGGCTTTTGCCACCGGAGGCACTGGCCCGGCCCGGTTCAATGCCTATGCCTTCGAACTCGGTCAGCGCTTGCCGGGCAGCGCGGCGGTTTCTTTTCCGTCGGCGCTATAAGTCTGCCAACTGATTACATGCACGAGGCAGAGCGCGCAGCAGCTCTTTACCTGCAATCGGGTGCCGGTTCTCTGTGGTCGGCCGTGCGACACGTGGTCTCATTGCTTCCCTTCAAGGAGGTCAGGCGGCAACATCAAGACCGTCCGCAAGCATATGGGCACAGAGGTTTTCACGGACTGTGTCAGCAGACATGCCAGTTTTGGCTCGGCGCTTCGCCTCATTATAATATGTTGAAAGGCTGCCTCCATGCGCAGCACAGCTGGACGACGATTGTGGTTACGGTCAACAACGTGTCCGGCTTGCTCGTCGACCGCCAGAATGCGCCGTTTTTGCAGCCTCGTAGTTGGCCTTTCGCACCGTAGTCAGGGGCACATGTGGATTCAAAAGAAGCGAGGAATACCTTGGTTAGGACCTGGCAGGGCTCAGCCGTTGGAAGGTCACAGGCTCGATGTTTCTTCGCGAGCTTACTTACTGCCCACGTTCAGCCATCCGCGCTACAGTCACTACAGGTGACAGATTGGTGCTCATTGTGTATATCATAGGGCAGTATGAAAGCCTGAGCAAGCAGCATGTTGAGATGCTGCTGAATTCCGGCTTCTGTGTGCCGGGCAATGCCTCTTCAAGCAATGAGGTGGAGCTGGTAGATTAATCCGATCATTTTTCCTGCGGATGCCAGAACATAGTTTCCAGGGGGTGGTTGACCATTGCCTGCCTCGCCTTCCCCTTAGGTTGTCCTTGTTCGGTTGTATCCCCCCTTGCCAGACTTGCAGAGTTCACTAATGGACGCGTCAGCTGCACCGCCAGTGACCGGGATACGGGCGGGACCGCAGGGGCATTCGTGCCAGGTCACAAGAATCCTGCAGCAGTCAGCGCTATCACAGCCGTTTTGCTTCTGATGTGTTTGTGCTACCTCAGCTCTGCTGATCTCTGCTGATGACCGGAGCCGTAGTAACGTAGTACTTCCAAGCACCGTCGGCTGATGAGAAATCCTGCGCCTCATAAATGCACGGACTGCGGGGTCTCTCTGCATGCATTGACCTGCCGAGGTTCTGAGTGCGCCGCTGTGACCGCCTCCGAGGGTTCCGTGGGCAACGATTCCATGCGCCCATCCAGCAATTGCCCCAACAAGCCGCTGGTTTACCTACAGGACAGAACAACCACAGTGGTCCGACGCGGCATGCGGACAACTACAGCAGTGGCGGGCAGCTTCCTGTCTTCTGGCACCTGGAGGCTTTTGGCGCTGCTCTTACGGACTGGTCGCCGTTTCGGGCAGGCTTCACAGTTGGTCCAGCCGCTTGGCCATTCGTGGCGTGCTGGATGATCCACCTGCATGCCTGTACGGACTCCTGGCTGCAATTTCCAGATTTTGGGCTATAGGCATAAGCACTGCTGTTCTTTGTGTAATACGACGGACCGGACGCAGCATGGCGAACGTTGCCACATGCTGCAACAACTCCTGGCCAATTCTGCACCTGAGAATTTGACGCCTGGGCCGTGCACTGGGGATACCGTTCCTGCTGCTCTACTTGCTTGCGCACACATGGTCGTCGTCACAGCGCGCGCTGCCGTAGTGCTTACTCCACAGGGACTGTGAGAAGCATGCCAGATGGGCCGCCGGGCTCGGGCGCCTCCTCCAGCTCAGCCGTCCAGGACACGATGATTTCTGGGAACACAGTTATTCACGTGCCGAGTCTGCTCGAGGTAACTGCAGCGAGACCAACATGGCCATGATTGTCGTTGATCTTGTTTCAGATGAGGATGAGGCAGTAGTTGGAACGGCAAGTGCTGTCGGAGCCCATATCAGCAGCCACAACACTGACCCAGTGGAGGTGTTGCCGGAGGCTACCTTTGAAGGATGTCGGAACGCGCAGTCGGAGTTTGTTGAGCTCGATGAGCTTGACTGGTACGTTTTCTTATCGTACAGTTGAAAGTTCCTCGGGATGTGCCACTGAGCACAGCGGTCCAGAACCGCCGGGCATTAATGTCTGTCCTTATCGCCAGGCATCAGACTCGGCGCCGCATTCGCAATGCAATGCTATACTACCACTACCACAACTACCACTACTAGTACTACTCTTGCGACTACCCCCAAGCACTGGCGGCTGCATGCTGGTGGACCCAGGACCATGCTAAACTGCTTTGCCCCAAACAGTGGTGGATTTTCTCAAAATACTGCTGCGATTGCATGCAGGGTTTCGCAAACCATGTGGGCCATGCATCGTAATTTACAATGATCTCGGCTCACAGGAGGCACGGGGGCACATTGGTCTTGTGCAACTGCCACGAACACGCCGCAGCAGGAAGCTTGTCCCCAGAAGCATCTTGCCGTCTCGCGCCCCCCGGAACCACCGATCCTTGTATGTTTGACGGAACCCCCGACTACCGATGGGGTTCAGCAAGATTCGGGACCGCGGCCAAAGTGTTTTCCACTTACTATTGCCAAAACTGGCGGATCCCGGACCGTAGTCGCAGCAACGACTACCCTTTGCGCTCTCGATGCAACCCGCTCGCACTGATGGGCCAACATGGTCTTCCGCAAGTACTGCCGGATCCCGAAGCACAACCAACATGCTCTCCCCCGAGTAAGAACTGGCGGTTCCAAAAGCACGGCAAAACGCTGTCCCCCTGGATGCTGGCGTCCCAGAGGCGGGGCCGGCGCTTCGCAGGCGCTGGGTCCCCCCCCCTCTCGCAGCAAAAAAATAAAAATCCCACAGACAGAAAAAAAACGTTCCACATAAATTCTGCATCCCTTCATGCCTGTCGTTTCCTTGTTCCGATTTGTTATTGAGATGCTTGCCAGCCCGGCCCAGGTAGTGGAATGAGTTCTGCAGGCGAGCGGGCAGGCGCGTGGCCGTGAAATGCATCTCCCCAGCAGTGCATGTCAGAATGCCTCCGGAATCGGAAAAAACTAATGAAGATTTGACATCTTCTGGTCGTTCTTCTTCTCGGGAGTTTTTGGTCTCCGCTTTGCCCTCTGCTCCGTTCTGCCGACGACTGCTCCCGAACCTGCTGACCGTTCCTGTCCAGAGTTTTTTTCGGGTCTGGTGCTCAGGAGTCCTGAAACCTCAAGAGGCCTGCGGCTTAAAGCCGGATTTCCTTTTTACAAAGGCGTCCGGTCGAACAAGCATCAAAGCTCGACAGCACTAGCAACAAAATATTTGGGAGGGGTAAGTAGCACAACGAACGCTGCGGCGGTCTCCCTTCTGCTGATGTTGTTGCTTCTCTTTCGGAAGAACCAAACGAGGGGACGAGAAGGGCATCGCGCAGCCCCGATGCCAATCCAGACAAGCGGCTGAGGCCTCTGAGAAAGACTTTCCTGGACTAATATGGACCGGTGACACGTCCTGCACAACACCGCTAGCAGATCAGGACGCACCATTCCTTAGCACATGCGACTGGACACGAGCGGCTCAAGGAGCCAATCCTGCTCAGCCGAAATGGCCCAAAAGTTTTGCAAGCAAGAAAGTCATGGAGTTTGGCACATTTTGGCACAGGAGAGTAGCGGATCAATGATGTATCAAGGTCGGAACAGATGGGATGGCAAGCATGCAGCTGCACTGGGGTCGGCCTGCAGCCATCTTGCGTTGTCTTCCCTGAAGTTGATTGGGATCTGTTTATATTTGCTTTCGATGATTCTGCAAGGCTGCTTCGCAAGGCTACTGCGCATACCCTTGCAACTGCCTTGTGCCTCCTTCTGTTGCCACGGGCACCCCACTCAACTGAAAGAAGACTGCTTGCTGAGATCAACACATGGCTAGGTTTTGTGACTGGCCCTAAGTGACTGCTCGTTCAAGTTGCGAAGGACAAATGCCTCCCGGTGATTCGCGTTCTGGAAAGCCTGCAGTTCAAGAAGATTACCCTTGCTGAGCGACAACCAAAAGAAAGTGTACTCATTGCTGAATGACAAGTCCAAGAAGATGCCCATCTCGATCATCCTGATTGAGATCCTTCTGCAATGTGCAACAACGGCATGCAGCCAGCGCCTTCTTGCGTGAAGAGGGACTTTACCAGGTTCACCACGTGGACGGATGATCACGTATCTGACTATTGTGGTTGCACCGTTGGTCTTGAAATTCCTCTGGCAAATTATCTGTCGCTTTCGTCTCTTCGATCCCCAAGGACCGCGCAAGATGCTCAGTGAGGCTGCGGTTGCCTCCCTCTGTGGCTGGCTTTTCACTGGACGACCGGCTCGGTTTTACCTTTTTCTTCCTGCCCGGGACCCGGCCATGCACGTGCCCGTGGCTCCGAAGGTCCGGTCCGGCGACCGGCACGAAAAAATCCGACGAGTCCGCAGAAATACCTTCCGTCATGCAAAATGGGACCGGGTGGCATTTTGCTCATGCCGACTGTCATTTCCCTGCGGATTGTTGGCATCAATCAAGCTGCTGAGACTCTCGCAGTTGCATTTACAGTGTTCGTCTGGCTGGGACGTGCACGATCATTGTTGGTGTTCTCTGCTCCTCACGTCATGTTCCTGGTTTCCGTCTCTATCACCGTCAAGTGCAAAGGGAAGGGGTTGCGCTGTCCAGCTTTACGCGGTGTAAGCATGTGCCTCGCGAGTTCAGCGCCTGCTTCAAAATCGCATCGGTTGGTTGGTGCCGTGCTTTCAAACACACCCACAAGTCAGGCTACAAGAGCAATGGAAAGGGAAGGTCAGCCGAAGGTAAGGGCAAAGGCAGCTTTGCATTCATCTTGCAATCCACGTGGAGCCACATAGAGGCCAAGCTTTCCGGTTAGCGGAACATGTCGGCTTGGCAAGGTGACATAAAAGAAGTGCCTGCAGATGATCGCAAGGGCGAGCGGCCGCATCCTCAGTGTTGGCTTGGTGCCTCGGTGTCTAAGAGTTCATGGACTTTGCCAGAGCAATTCTTGCCACTCTCAAGGAAGGGCGGCGACAAAGGCGAAAGAAAGGGTGGAGGAAAAGGCGACAAAGGTGGCAACCGAAAGGGAGATGCCAAAGGAGACAAAGGCAGGCAGCATGCCATAGAGAAGCTGTTGAAAGAAAGATCACTGCGGTTCTTCCCATGGGACCGCCAGGCAAGGGGAAGAGAGAGGCCTCGATTATCATCTTGGATTTTCATCTGCACCTTTCAACACGTACCAACGCCATGCTTCTTCTAGTCCCTCGCCAACGTTCGCAAGAAGACAGGTCAAAGTGGTCTCAACCGGCTTGAGAGGCAAAGTGATCAAGCCCAACTGCCCTGTCGGGAAGGGAGTACAGTTAGGTGTTCCTTGCTGCGGGGCACAAGTCGGCAAGCCATTCCTGAAAAGAGCTGACAGGGAAATCAGAGCACGAGCTCGTTCAAGGGCATGAGATGGCATGCCAGGTTCGTGGCTGGCAAGCCGAGTGGCTTCATTCAACGGGCGGATGGAGAGAAGGATGCCTGCGGCCTAGTCAGGTGGACCTTGTCAGACATGTCCCCAAGTATGTTGCCAGACTTCCTGCTGAAGCTGCAAGGTGTTCTTCGATTTGGCTGATGTTGTGGAAGGGGAGATTGAGGCGTCCGAAGTTCTATTTATTCGAAGTTCGATTTTCCTCATGGGAGTGGCAATCCTCTCGAAATCAAGCTCACCTGCCAGGTTGAGGATTTTGTCGAATTTGATGTCGTTGAAGGTCTGGAGCCGATTGGGCTGTCGGGTGCGAGCTTGGTAGGCCCAGGCAACATGATCACGTGAAACAGACTGTGGCTATGGCGGCTATGGCTGATCTTCTTGTGCGCAACCAAGGTTTGGACAGAAAGTGCTGCCCTCAGAGCATCGGGCATCATCGGGCATTCTGGTCCACGCACACGGCGGACACGGCGTGCTTAGGCTGTATGGCTCGAAAGTAAAGAAACTTCCAAAGGACACGGACCTGAAAGAGGCTCCGCCAGGGCTGCGCAGCTATGCACTGCTTGGTGGCTGTGGCACAGGAAGGGCAAGTTCTGAAGTCTACAACAGTTCACACGGCTTCCAAAGCTGGCTCGCTCACCGGCGGCGGTCTCACTTTAGGCGTCTGTGCACCGGAGTCATTTTCAGCACAGTGTGTCGCCAACCTTTCTGTACTCTGGTCTCTGCAGTGCTCAAAGGGTGAGGGAAGGACTCTCGGCCTAGCCGCCAAGCCACGCGGCTCACGGCCATGGCGGTGCAGGAGAGCCTTTAAAATTGTGAGGGTAGAGGGCATTGAATCTTCTACAGGGCCAGCTGGACCTCAAGCTTGGAGACCGGCGAGCCCTCAAAGCAAGCATCGTAATGCGCCCAGCAACTGCTTGGAAGCATAGTTGTAGAATTTTGGAACTCTGTTCGCTGGAGGCTGGCATGTGCGGGCTGCTTCTGTGGAGGCATCGAGACATCGCCAAATGCCGAGAAGAGCCATGCACAGCCCTGGGACGCAGGATGCAGTTGAGCTGTGCGCCCCACCCCTGTTTTGTTCTGCCCTCAGCTTTTCGAGGCGGCTGCTCAGATAGCTGCACGTTCCAACACAAACTCAGGCAAGCTCGCCAAGCCTGCGGGTCTCAAGAAGCAGCTCGAACTGGTTTCATGAAGGTTTCAGTTTTGGAAAGTGTCTGGTAAGCTCCGGAAGGTCGACCGCTGAGTCGCGAGCATCTCGCTGGCACGGCGCATGATCCGACCTCAGACTCAGAGATTTGTCTTGGAAAGGCCGGAAGATGCGTTCGAGTCTCGAAAATTCTCGAATCGGTCCTGCAGGCGTCATCCTCGCATGCCAGGCTTAAGCCCAGGCCCAAGCCGGTCGCCATAGTCCAAGCACAGCACAGAACGCCCCGTGAGTTGTGGCCGAACTCTTGCAGCTCCTGCGGCGCTTCTGGCTGGAGCGGGAGCTGGTGGGGCCTCGGCCGTTCCAGAACTTCATCGTAGAGCAAACGGCCGGCCAGGTGCCGCCGCCAACTCCCGTCGGCGCAGGTCATTCGCAGGCCACGAGCTTGCCCAAACTCCACTCTCAGATACCGTCACCCGCATTTGTGCATACGATCATGTCAGTCTTTCCATCATTCGCAGCCAATGTTCACAATGCTCTTTAGAGAAGTGCTTCCGGACTAGGACGGCAGAGCGGGAGAGGCCTAAGGCCGAAACTGCTCCACATAGTTCGCAACATGGCATAGCTGATGCGCAAGTATGGTGCGCAGAGCCCCAGATTCAAAACCCTGAAGCTAAAAAGCTTGACTGCAAGGTTACAAATACCTAAATGAAAAATTCCGTTTGTTGTGTGTTGCCTGCTTCAGTGCGGCATGCTGTCTAAAGCCAGGCTCCATCTTTCCGCACCAAGGGTTGAAAGGGCGGCGGGTGGGGGCTGAGAATGCTGATCATAGCTTCACTCTGATTACATGATTACATATTGACATACCGTGTAGACTCCGAGCCCCATCCAAGAACCCTGCATGATCCTGCATGTCATACTCCAACTTGACATCGTTACAGCCGACCAGGCACGAGGCAAGCGAGGCCAAACGAGAAGCCGAGTCTCCACATCATAGCAGCCATAGCAATGTATCATAATGCCAAGCAGCTCGTCAAGCAACACGCCAGGCAGGCCTTTACGAGACAGATTCTGGAACCGTCCCTTTCGAGAGGACAAAGTGTCAACAATTCAACAAGGGTCCCGACTGCATCGTCGCATTCTCGTTACATCAGTAAGAATGGGCAAAGGGTTCCATTCAGCTGCCACAATACATGCCAAATTAACGTATGTTGGCGGAGCGTTCTTCCGAGCTCGAACTGCTTGGCAGGCCGGAAGTCTGCACAGGCGGATGGAGAGGCCTGGATCGGCCGTTGCGCTGATGCAGAGCTGACACGCCTAGAGCCAGCGTGACGGGCAGATGGCTCGGGATCCAGAAGCAGGAGCCGAACGGGTTTGAACCTGAGTTTTCGGTTGAACTACTCTGGCAATTGTATCTGGAATGCCATGAATAACTTGGCATGCAGGTGGCCCGGGATCCAGAAGCGCCACGTTCGCAGGATTGGAAAGCTCGGTGCCACTTTCCAACAACGTGTAGATGTGTGTGTACAGTCGACCTTTGCCCCGGCCTTTTCGAAAGGCAGCCGAACCCAGCAGGGGTCCGTCCCCAAGAGTTCAATGCCACTCCATTGGTCCATCAAAGTGTCTATTAATGCTGCATGAATGCAAGGTGAAGGCGACGATGGCCTGAAGGGGTTTGTCAGAAAATTGAAGGCGGCACCGCAACTCTATTGCTTGTGTGCACAGAGTTTCATGCCACCGTCTGTTCGTTTCGATGACAGGAAGATCCTGAGTTTCAGGAGGCCCGTGGCGTCTCGAAATGCGCGAGCTGTAGTGTAAAAGCTTTGCTTTTCCCACAGGATGTGAAGACGTTTTTCACGTCACTCACCGTGGCCCGCAACCCTGCTTACCGCCCTCAACAATTCATGTCGCCACGATTTCTGCAGTAGGTCTGATCGTGCCTACCTCAGGCTCTTTTGATCAGAGGTTTCCTGGTCGAGTTGGACCCTCAGGAGGTGACAGTGCTGCACGGCCACCATGTATGGGCTTCATCTCAAGGCCGCGCTTTATTCCGTCCTTGTCCATGTACCCGAACTTCGACATAGGTGCCCTCTACCGTTTTGTGGGGAGGTGATCGGATCTTATAATGCTATTCTGTTCAAGGTGACCAGCTCACAGTTGACAAGGTCTCGAAGCGTTGGTCGCTGCCCGTGAACGGCATGTTTTGAGCGACAGTTGTTGTCCTGCAACAGTTCACTGTCCTTGCTTCGTGGTGCTCAGGCGCGAGTACCAGCGCAGAGATGTTGTCGTCTTCAACCCGCCACCAGCTTTCAGCCTTGTTGTTGGCCATGACCTGAGGGCAGGTACAGAGGCTTATTGACTCTATTCCTGCAGCAGCAGCAGCAGCTCCGGACGGTTTCGCTTGACCTCACCCACAATCCACACAGGGCAAAGAATCGCGGGACTTCCATGTCCCAATCTGGTCCGAGGCGGTGACAGATCTGGAGATGCGTTGATCAAGCGAGTTGTCATCATCTCAGAGGGCTAGTTGCATGAGCATGATCGGTATGGTTGGCGGGGCAAGTGTAGCATGCAGCGATTCTTTGACAGCCAGATTCCGGAAGAAGTAACATTTGTTCGTAGCAGGTCGCCCTCGCGGGGGACACGGTTGAGATAAAGAATGGCGGAACTTTGTGCCCTAACCTTGCAGAAAAAGAGTTTGAGAGAGGACTGTGCCAATGTTATGCTTGAAACGGCACGGATGTTGACATGATGAACGTTTCAAACAAAATTACCAGGAGACCTACCAACTAGTAATTATTGCAGAGGTACATCAACGGTGAGGCACAGGACGAACCTTTCACGAACGAGGCCCGCTGCCTGGATTGAAGGGTCAAGGCAGAGGTTTCATGCTTTGGCTGCAGGCTGCAAAGTACGACTTTGGACCTATAACAGTTCCAGACGGATGTGTCTTCGTCCTCGGCGACAACAGGAGATTTGATGCTTCGCTTTCTTCATCACGGGTACGGCTTCAGAGCGCTTGAGACGAAGCACTTTCGCCCTGGGCAGTCTTGGTGCGACTATGTGCAGGAACCAATCTCTGGATGGGCACGTTTGGGGCCCCCTTCCTGTCGAAAACATCATCGGCCGGTTGCTCAGCAACATCTTCGGCACTCTGGCATAGTTCGGCATGATGCAAAACACGACCCACTCTCTTCTGCTCGATTCAGGACGCGCGACTCTGAAGTTTTGGCCACCATGGCATGTTGGTTCCGTCGTCGCAGCTCCGCCTTGAGATGCCCAAAGGCATGCGCGACGCTAATGAGCATGGGTGCTTTCGCACTTTATGAGAACGGGCCGCATGGTGCCGCATGTGCCACGTGACGGCAAAAGACTTGCATGTTCATGTGGCACACCTGTGTGACAAGGGCAGGATGCTTTTGTCGGCACACCTGCCTGACGCCGATTTTTTTTTATATCATTAGGTCGGGACCTGCGCCGGGGAAGGAAGGGCAAAATTGGTGCGGTACAGCAGGCTCACTGAAACAAATTATAGGTATTGGTTTGGACAAGATAGCCTTTAAAGCTGCTGTTTGCTCGGACTCGCATTGCCTGTTGCCTGCATCAGGCACTGAACAGGGTGCACACTTGTTACATTGGCAGCAACTCCGCCCCAGCCAGACTTGAAGGACCAAGCTCCAAAGCAGCTGGAAGGCTCTCCGGTCCTGTGTCGGAACCTTGGCGCGCTCCGTGGGGTTATACAAGGACACGACGAATTGCAGACATTCTGAGATTCGCAGGTCGCTCAGACCCGGTGGCACACTAGCACCTTTCACAGGCCTCGAAAGCATTCCCGAGACTGCCGGCACAATTGCTTCCAGTCATGTGGTCGCAGGAAGCAGCACAAAGCCAAAAGAGGATCGGCGACGGGCAAGCAAGATTTTGTGAACGGCAGTAGCTTTGAGAGTGGATGCAGGAGACCAAGCCGACCGAGGCACTCGGAGATGGTGTGGTATGTGGTAACAGTATGTCAGACATGTAAGGCTAACTACCCGATCTGGTGCATTAAGACACTCAGACTGGAACTCCAATGAAACAAGGCTTCATCCAAGAGTCTTCGCAGATCGCACAAGATCGGAAGTTCAAAACCAGAAGCGAGACGTTGCACCGATATGCCCTTCAACTTGAGAAGAGAGCCGAAAAAGGTCTTACACGTGCCATTTTCCACAACCGTGGAGGGAGCACACAGAACCGGACACAATGCTCACGCGTCACGCTATAGTTTGTCCTTGAACACCGTCGACTCGAGTGACGCAGCGACACCTTTGTGTGTATGACTGCTCGATCTTGCGAGCTGCTGCGTGCATGAAGCCTCGCAGCATCGCCACATTCGGGTTTTTGCTGTGCTTCTGGTCTTTCCTATTCTTGAGGCAGATGCATCTCATCTTGCTTTGAGGTCTGCACAGACGATGGGTCCATTTGCCGAGTCTTCTTCTCGTGCTGTCGAACAGCTTCTGGTCTGTAATTCTCTTGGCGAGTACGTACCATGCAGGTGTCCACATGGACGGAGAATGCGTCAATGTGAAACAATACGCGTGTGAAATCGATACAATCTGGCTGACTAGGGGTGTCGTTCTCGGTGTTGCCTTCTGCGACCTTCAGCGAATCTGGTTCTGACACCTGACACGAATTTGAACAGGCGCCATGACTCATGACATGGTGGTGAACTGGGGCTCGGGACCATCTGAACAGGAGCCAGCTCAAGATTTGGAAAGCTGCTTGTGGCCACAGCCCCAAGGATGCACCTCCTGTGACTCTGCATTCCCCTCTTGACCTGCCAAGGGGCCGGATCGTGAACGTTTATGGCGGGTTTGGATTCCTCAAACAACTTGGCAACGACGGTGATGGTCAAGACATCTTCTTTCGGGCAGCCGACGTTATAGGTGGCATCCATAGCTGCGTTTCAGACGGCGATAGTCCGAAGTCTGCCTCTAAAAGGCATCAATTGCCTTGAGCCCGGAAGTGCTTCGACCGAATGCCGGGGTCTCGAATTGAAAGCTGACCTGGGATCTCCGTTCGATTGCGTTTGCCCGGACCTGCTCCATGAGAGGTTTGGAGATCAACTTGAGGAGTCTGGAGACTGACCCTGGCTGCCAGTTCTGCCGCATGCTGCCGCTGTAGGACTAGCTCCAAGAAGTTCTACATCAATCTCGAGGACGAGGTGTCCTTTGTCATGTCCAAGGAGACTGTGCGTGCAACTCGTGGTAAAGCAACCTCCAAGCTGCTGACGAAGCAAGCTGTATAGTGTTAGGGCTCAGCAAGTTCGCAATTGGAGCTGCTAGCTCCTGACCAGTGGTTGGTTGCTGCTTGTGCCGGTGATGACCTTTCTTGGGCGCGGTGGATTGACCTTGCTGCAACGGCTTTGCAATCACGAGTGACTTCATCGGTTTAGAGATGTTCAGAGCTTTCTGACCGCAGGACCTGACTGGGAAGCCATGCGCCGCTTCGGTGGTGAAGGATTCGCTTCAGTTTACAGTACCGAGTTGCCCAGTTGACACTGCATGTCTCTTCTGCCGAACCAGGAACGAAAGGGTGCCTGGAGAACAAATCGCGGCCGACGACTTCCTGGCGTAAAGGAAAAGAAAGAAACCATCAAAGATCAGGCAGACGTGGGCAGATTCTTGTGTGAGCCAAGCCGCCGGTGAATTGTTTCAAGGTTAAGCGCCTGACGGCCATGGACACAGATCAGGCCACACAGATCCAAAATGTTTATTTTCATGGCATGACCAGCAAAATTGCGCTGTTTCAGATGACAAAGGACACTAGCCACCTGAGAGAAGATGGCTTGGCTCGCCAGCAGGTCCTGCAGAATGCAACGCTCTTCAAGGACATCCTGGACAGCCGGGATCCTTCAATTCGAACCCAGACAGCGCAATTTATTCGCAAGATCTGCCTCCACGACAGGTCCTGACTTTGAATTCTCACACCTGTACAAAGTCATCACGATGCTGGCATCCAAGGACAGGCGCTTGTAGCTACTTCTACACAAGCGTCACTGCAGCCCTTCCCCGGACCATGTTGCCCAGCTCTGCGCGAACCTCATGCGCTCACAGTGCTGGCAGCCTTCGGTCACAGGATTTGCTGGAAGACACCCGCTCAGATCGGATTTATCGACTTTTTCTGGAGTCCAATGCAATGCAGGCCCCGCGCAAAAAGCACGCATAGGCAGGTAGGCCGACCTGCCATTGGAAGAGGCATGTCTTCGAACAACCATCATCAAGCAAGGGGCAGGCTGGGTTTTGCAGGGACTCTTTCCCAGATGTCGTGACACTTGCTCAGAGTCAACTCAGGCCGTCATCATGGAAACTTTCTGGAGGACAACCTGTCTACGTGTGCGCTGCATGCGCATGTCAGTGCCTTCTCGCCGAGCTGCAACTGCCTTCATTGCGCTGCTTTCCAGCATGCATCGTGTTTCCGGCAATCCAATCTCTCAGGATACAAATTATCGAGCCACTTGCCTCGACCGGCATCGTGTAGCAGGCTATTTTTTGAAATGCAACGTGGCAGACTAGCAACCTGCAAGGTTTAGTTTATGGTAGAACGACTCGTGATGGCCTCCTGAGTGCTGCAAAGAAGACCGTGCTCAAGCGATGTTCCCGGCAAAGCCTTGCGTGCTGAAAGGATCCAGCAGAGAATCGTGGTTGGAACCGGAGGAACTCCCAATTCGACTTTCGCCCCTTGGGTTGTCCTGGGCATGGCTTCGTTGTCACATGGTGATTCGATTCAAAACTGTTCCATCCGGCTTATGTTCGAGCCAATCATAGTCAATCGATCCATGGCTTCCCTCGCGGAAGAAATCGAGAACGTCCGACGAACGGAACTGCAGGATTTAGAGCAGGCATCTGATACCGCAGCGAAGCGGCCGCATCGATTGCAAATCGTATGCTATCAAACTGGCAGGTTTCCTACACCAGAGGTGAAACCATACGCGTGTGTGTGTGTGTGCGTGTGTGTCTGTGTGTTTGCGTGTGTCTGTGTGTGTGGACCTCTGTTGCCAAGAGGAAATGTCGGTTACAGCATTGCAGGGGGACACAGCATGTCACTGGGACTGTGTCCAACGAAGCTACCAGTGACATGGGAAGCCAGGGCTGATCACCCTTGTGTACCTGCATTACTTTTTCTGACCGTAGATCTGTCTGAAGAGTCCAGTTGCCGTGTGCAGAAGAACAACAGTCGAACACAACTGATCAGCCTAGAGGCCTGACAGGTACCGGAACCCCTGAAAGCTT